TTTGCATTAATGATTGTGATCATTGGGGCGGTAGGAGGTCCTCGGGATTGTGGTCAACAAACCGATACACCAATTCGTCGCTGGATCAGAGGACGTTGGCCACAATATGCTGGCGTAGCATGGGGAAAGACCACACCATCTTTGTGTGAGACTACGATAGGGAAAATCCGAGCATGACTATGCCAGAGTAGGGCATGACCGCACCCATATACTCCTTGGCGGAGTTATAACTAAATCTGGAGCAACCACATCGAGGAACTTCTGGACACGGCGACGCTCAGGCCAGACGCGACCACACGGGTCCCAGAGTAGGGTGGCATGTGTTGAGTCGAATGTGAGTAGGCTAACAAAAAAACAAGTCAACTATAATTAATAATAAGAATGTCTTTAAAAGAAATTAGCAAACTCGATCAATCTGAACCCTATATAACCTTTGGGTTAGGTAGGGGAAAGATTTATTAATTTAAATGCAGACTCATCAAATTTCTAAAATTCCTTTATTTAAATAATCAAATCAAGCTTAAAGCGGTATTTCAATCAACCAAATTTGTATATTACTTTGCCCAAAAATATTGAGACAACTAATGCGTCATCAATAAATTTTCATCATATTGCACGAATGATGAGGTATTGCATGAATTTCAAGGTAACCTTTTGTGCAGAAAACACTCAACCTTCGGTTAAAATTCATATAAAACTTCAAATTCAACAAACATACTTTCGACTTGACCAACTCAACGAAACACAGCAACAAAACTAAAATAATTCCAGTATGAGTGAAATCAAGCTCGAATTAGGGAATTAAACCTTAGTTGATAGTTTTCAATGCATAATCAGAATGACAAATGAAGTTCAAATTTCACAAGCTCATTGTCAAATCGATTATATTTGCGAGATGAATCCATCGAGATCAATATCGTTCAATTATGATATGACCAAGACACTCAAACGTTTACTAAAAAGCGTACAATTACTTGAATACCTCTAGATTAGTCAACGAAGTTGTATGAACTCCTTCCTTATTTACAGATGAAACTTAATTAGACTATAAATATGGTCATATGCATTTTTGAGAGGGAAGGTAGACCTTGAGCTTAAAGAAGATTGAAGCTCAAAGATGAGTTAAAGTTCAATGTTGCTTCTGCACTGCAAATCAATCGAATGTATCCCACTCTTGCAGTTGCCGACCACTACCAACCATCACAAGCTGGTCACCGTCGACAACCCTTAACTTGTTGCGGCGAAGCTCCGAGCAGAGTTAATGCTTGTGTTGCGGAGCGACAAAGCACCGTGCAAAACAATAACCAACGCAGTGACGTCAATAAACATCATACATAGCAATGCAACATCCTAAACGTCGTGTCAACCCCGAAGATGGTGTATCAAAGCTCCAACAACTACTCATCACTGCAACCGCTTCCTACATTTGATTAACAAGCTTGTTTGTGCACGACAATTATAACTCGATAAATTGTATAACCCTTTTCCACCCATGGGAAAAAAATGTTCTATACATATAACCATCAACTCATGGTATATCAATTCAACTAGGTCAGACATCGTGTTTTTTCCAGTTTCAAGCTGTTTCGCGAAAAAAAAATTTTGTTTCTGCCAGTCACATTTATTTATTTGAACATGTTTTGGATTTTCGTGCAACACTATGACTATAACTTCATACTATACCACTGTGAATTCTCCGGCACGATCCAGTGCCTTTTCTAGAAGCTTGATTAAGAAAAAAATTTAATAATAAAGTACATTTAACACCCATATATGTTTTTATTTAGAAAGATTTACATGCATATCACTTAATTCCTACGCGTCTCTATATTCAGTGCCTAAACTTTAATTTTGCATATACACCAACTTATCAATGCATGAAAATGCATATTTCACTTATAAGAAATTAAAATATTTATATTTTTTTTGTGATATGAAATATTTCGATTGTATAAATGCAAAAAAAAAAAAAAAAAAAAAAAAAAAAAAAGATGTTAAAAAACAAAAAAAAAAAAAATTTTTGGGGGTATACTTAATAACTTCATACTATACCACTGTGAATTCTCCGGCACGATCCAGTGCCTTTTCTAGAAGCTTGATTAAGAAAAATATTTAATAATAAAGTACATTTAACACCCATATATGTTTTTATTTAGAAAGATTTCCATGCATATGACTTAATTCCTACGCGTCTCTATATTCCGTGCCTAAAATTCAATTTTGCATATACGCCAGCTTATCAATGCATGAAAATGCATATTTCGCTTATAAGAAATTAAAATATTTATATTTATTTTGTGATATGAAATATTTCGATAGTAAAAATGCAAAAAAAAAAAACAAAGTAGATGTTAGACACGTAAATAAATAAGAATTTATGGGTGTATACTTAAACTTGCCCTTTTATTTCATTTATAAAACAACTCTAAATATATTATTTAAATCAATATTTATTTACAGGGCATTCATTGTATTCCTATTCTCTATCCAATCTTTATTTTCAATTTTTATAATATTTTATTATAGGGATAATTACCAGCATAATACTCGAGAAATTGTTACTTACAAAATCAAGCACATAAGTGATATTTTTGAACTATCAACTTAGTTTATTTACACGCGACACGACTCGATCATTGAAAAATCTTATAAAAATGAAAAATACGGGTTGGTGTTTTATCATAAATTTTAATATTTGAGCGAGAATTTGAAAAATGGAGCGCGCTAGATTTATAAATAGCAATATTTTTAGGGCACATGTATGTAATTTGCCCCTTCTTTATATTTCGAGGCACACTAAATTAATGTTTGATATTCTCTCCAGTGAATTTGCAATGCTTGAGATTTATCTCGAGCAGTTCTATTTTACTTATACTTATTTCTAAAGTATCAAAGAATTGTCGGGTGGAAATAAGTATTACTAAAGTATCAAGTTCTATTTAGAATTTGGTATATATCGTTTGAGTTATCTGTCAATAATGACACAAGTATCTTTTAATAACAAGAGAAAGATTAAAGAATTGCAATGAGTGTCCTTAGAAGCCTCCTTGGCTTCTTTGCACCGTCTAAAGATAAAAAAAGTATTACATCTGGAGTCCCAATGTAGAAATGCATAACGACTCCAATGAAATTGAACCACGTGTTCAGAGGAGGCGGGTCACTCATTAAAATATAATTTTTTTTTTAATTTAGTGGGTCTGTCGTGTGACGTGACGCCATTTTATTAGGGCCCTGATGTTTTTTTGCATCAAGACTTTTGATATAATATGCACAAACTTCATCATGAGTAGAAAGAGCCATCAAAATTGTGTATTTGACCTTCACTTTTTCCGCTATTTTACTGATAGTCGAATTGTCATGCCACCTTTATTTTTAGAAAAGAACCATCTTGGCCATCCAAAACGAACTCTTTGATCCTTTTTCATTCCTCATATGTTGATTAATGTTCGTATTGCCTTCATCATCAGCAGAAAAAGATGACCGTCATTCTCAACAAACTTTCATACCTTTTTATAATACATTCACACGTCGGAGAAAGACTCTTTCGTCGCTCTCTAACGACCTATGCAACAATCTAGCAAGATCTAATTCCGACCTATGATTTTGCGACCTTCGTCTTCATGCGAATCACCCGATCATGCTCTAATAGCATCCCTAATCTCTTAGAGATGATTCATTTATTCCCGTTATTCTTGCAAGTTCTATCTCTACGATAATGTTTATCTGAATACAGCCTCACCATTTCACCAACATGATAATTGTGCTATTTTAAACGCGATAAGAATGATTTTAGGGCTATGTTAGTAAATACAAAATTATAGAGGGGAGATATATAAATATAAAAGAATTTGTGATATATATGATAATATACCATTGCTCTAATATTTCTATCAACCAATCGATAATTGAAAACCTCAAAAACCATTGCTCTAATATTTCTATCAACCAATCGATAATTTAAAACCTCAAAAAGATCACTGCCAGGGAGCAGCGAGCACGGATGAACCCAAAGCACAGCCTCAAGGCCTAGCTAAATCGATGATGGTCCCACGTGGCAATCTTAACACCGTACATCACAAGCACCCATTCTAATTTTGTTATGAAATCAACCACGTAGGATGGTCTCAAAAGAGGGTACATTTGGCGGTGCGGCATATACTTCATGCTGCCTTAATATACAACCTCTATAAATACCCAGCCGCTGCTACTTCTTCGATCACTGCTGGTCTTTTGGTTGTACCCGTGCTTCTCTCTCATTTACTTTCTTCTCGTTTCCCTACCGTTAGGGTTTTCGGGGACAATTTTTGAATGCTCCTTGAGCCTTATCTCTCCTGCTTGGCTTGTCTTTGCAGCTTCGTATGCTTCTTCGGATCGGCTAAACCCTAGTTTTTTTCTCGAGGTCAGGCTGTTGTCTCACTATGCGGCTTCTTCTTTGTTTCGCCGTTGAAGCTCGAACTTGCTTTGATCTGGGGACTGTACTGTGAGCGGTCCAACGTGAAGGGTAGATGCCAAACTAGCTCCCGGCTGTTTGTTCGAGTGTATTCTATTCCTCGTTTTCAATGCAATTGAAATCTAGGGTATCTATTTTCCACAGCTGGATGGGAATCTTATTCCAGATCCGGTGGGTTTGCTAGTCCAGAAGTCATTTTCTTTCTGTTTTCTGAAAAATAGGTTGTTCTGGACTGATGAAAGTTTGAACATGAGTGATGGAGGCAAGCAGGGCGGGGCAGACAATGAGAACAACTCGTCCAAGAAGACAAAGCTGAAGGGTGGTGATGAATTTGGTCGTGCTATTTCACGGATTGCGGTAGCCCAGATTTGTGAATCGACTGGGTTCCAGAGTTCTCAGCGCTCGGCGCTTGAAGCTTTTGTGGATATTACAATTAGGTATATCTGTAGTTTAGGTAAAGCAGCACGTTACTATGCTGACATATCTGGGAGGACGGAGTGCAACGTGCTTGATTTAATACAAGGTTTGGAAGATATTGTTGGCTTGGCCCAGGGATTTACTGGCGGTTCAGATGACAGCAGGTGTTTGGTTGGTTCTGGGATTGTTCGGGATATTTATCAGTTCGTGAGCAGTGCAGATGAAGTTCCTTTTCCTCGGGCAATTCCAAGATTCCCAGTTGTTCAACCCTTGAAGAATACACCTAGCTTTGCTCAGCTTGGGAAGACCCCTGCCTCGAAGCATGTGCCTGACTGGCTTCCAGCATTTCCTGAGCTTCATACTTACGTGCACACCCCAGTTTGGAATGAGAGAACCACTGATCGCCGGACAGACAAACTTGAGCAAACAAAGCAGAGGAGAAGGGCAGAGACTTCCTTGCTTTCTTTGCAGCAGCGAATTGCTTGCACTGGTGAAGTTGGGTTTGTTCCTTCAGGCAATAGCAGTGATTCCAAGGGGAAACAAGTTGCAGAAAGTAACCCATTTCTTGTACCTCCTTTGCCTTATGACTCGAAGCAGGTTTCGGCTGTTGCCATACCGAAGTGTGATGTCACAAAGAAGAGCTTTTCGGTGCTTGAGACTTTTGCCCCAGCTATTGAGGCAGCTAAGGCTGGTGCCCCGGAATGCAGGGCCATTGAAAGAAGATCATTGCCTGGTAAAAGGGCACCTGTGCATTTTAGGATAGGAGTTGATAAGAAATCGATATTGGCGCCATTGTCTTCAGGTGTTTTAGGTAGCAAATCTGATGATTGGTTTTTAAGGGACGATCAGAAAGATGATAAGAAGCGTAGAGCTGAGATGATACTTAAAGAAGCTATGGAGAACCCACAGGAGCTCATTCAGTTGTAACAAAATAATTGTCTGCTTTTGTGGGGTTTCTTCTCACATGCAGATGGACACAATTTTCAGTGCTTCCCTTTCGGATCATATATTTTGGAAATTTGAGGTGTGTAGAGTTTTTTTTTTTCCTTGAGTAGCAGTCTTGATTAAATAAATTTTGTTTAGTTTTTGATTCAATGGGTTATGCTTCTTCTTCTCATTTTTTTGTTGTATTCCAACGCGGCTGAAGAGAATTTTTTGAGTAAAACGGATCTGTATATGTTTATGTTTTCTCTTGTCTGTTTCACACCAATAGTTTTTGCTTTTTTGTTAACTCATATTGCATTTAGGACAAATTCTTATTAGTAATTTTCCTGTTCAGATTTCTAATTTTTGGATGAATATAATCTGTGACAATGTATTGTCCTTAATGCTGCCATTTATTCACAATTTCTTTGTGTATAGCATGGGGACTTTTAATGGCTGTAGTTGAAGTCCATGACTTGCCTTTGACTTGTAAAGTTCAATTATGCTCTATGTTGGGTGATGGATCGTGAATCAATTTCTTTCAATAAAAACTTTTGAGCTAGTTTGTTATGGTCAACCGTTGGCATCTTTACACTAATATATCTTGTTAAACTATCTAATATGTTTAAACTGGTGACTCGTACGTGCCATGATGAATTTATCCCTTGTGAATCTTATAGCTTATTTATCTCTTTTGAGCTATCCACATCAAATATATCTAACCCTAAATTCATAACCCTCTTGGGAAAACAAATGCTATTCTTTACCCCAAAATATTTAGAAAGATTGCTCCAACCCGTCTTTGAATAAAATTGTAAATGGCTAACCATAGGGATCCGAACCATTAGAGCCACTTGCCTCTCACTCAACCTAGTCATTATTGGCTATAATACCGTAGGTAGGAAGAGTGGATTGAGAGGGGGCCAAATATGGGCTTAATATGCTAGTGCACAATTACAGCCTTGAAGGCAATATACCTCGACAATAGCAAACACAATAAAAGATTGAAATCAACTCTTGAAATAAGTTCAAAAAATTCTGATTGCTTTTTAACTTATGTTGTACTCAAACGAGAAAAGTTCAGATATTATAAGTGATTATAAATAGTAAGAGTAAACAATAAAATAGTTTTAATAATAAAGTCCATATCTTCAGCACAATGAAGATGCTAAAATATTTAGGAAAAAACAGTAAAAAAAAAGGAAGAAGAAATTATAATGTTTTAAAGCCTTTTCTCGTGGTGATGATTCATCATCAAATAACTTCATTGTATTTGCTAGAAGAAACGTTTTACAATGAAGATGCTAAAATATTTAGGAAAAAACAGTAAAAAAAAAAGGAAGAAGAAATTATAATGTTTTAAAGTCTTTTCTCGTGGTGATGATTCATCATCAAATAACTTCATTGTATTTGCTAGAAGAAACGTTTTACAATGGGTGAATCTGACTCAAATTCAGCGTGACTCTCTTATTTATCATGTAAATGATGATGCATCGGGGCTCTTATAGAATAATAAAAAAATGCATGATTTAATATGTAAAAACAATGTAATATGCCATCAAGTCATCAGGTTGGAGTAACGTTACATTGTGTGGATGAAAAGTGTTATGCTTAAAGATGATTCTTAGTATGATGATGTTTATGATCATTTGTATATTAAACTCTTTGCCATGTATTTCCCTTCTAACATATAAATATGTAGCTATATCAGGTATAGGCATGCATATTCAAAGATGGCTTGTCAAATATTTATGCATATGTATGATCAATTACTCTTAAGGCACATTGAAATCGAGAAAGTAAGTACAGACCTATGAAAATTCAATGATTTTCAATACATGTTGCTTTGTGGGCTTATTGTCTTGATCAGCTGGGAAGAGTGGATTAAGAGGAGACCAAATATGGGCTTAATACACTAGTGATCAGTCACACAATGAGTCTAGAAGGCAATACCCCTTGGCAATAGTGAATGCAATAAAAGGGCGACCTCAACTCTTGAATTAAGTTTCAAAAATCAGGACAACTTTAAACTTATTTTGCACTCATATGAAAAGAGTACATATATTATAAGTTAATAAAAGTAGTAAGAGTACATTAAAAAAAAAAAAAACCAAACCAATAAAGTTCATATCACTTGGTACCCCAAAGATGCAAAAATATTTGATAGAAAAAATAATAAAAAGTGAAATCTTCTTGTTTAAAAGTATGCTCTTGTGGCGATGATTCATCAAGTAACTTAGTTGAACTTGCCATGAGAAAAGTTTTTCGGTGTGTGTGTTTGACTCAAATTCAACAAGAAATTCTTATTTATAGTATAGGTGACGATATACGGAGGCATATAACATGGCCAATAAAAGATGCATGATTTAATATGCAATAACAATGTAATGTATTGTTAAGTTATCAAGTTGGAATAATGTCACATTGTATGAATGAAAAGTGTTATGCTCAAGGATGATTTTTTGTATGGTGATGCTTATGATAATTTGTATATTAAACTATATGCTATGCATTTCCCTTCTAACATATAAATATGCATGCATGTAACTATATCAAGTATATGCATATCCAAAGCTGGATTGGCTTGTTAGATATTTATGGATATTTACAGTTAATTGCATTAAGACACCTTCAAATAAAAAAAGTACAACATTTTTCAATGATTTTCAATAAATGTTACTTTGTGGGCTCATTGTCTTGATTAGCTAATATTGCAAAGGGTTTTAATGACCCACACACTTCTAACATAGATAGACAATATTTATATATCATAAGTATGTATTTAACAAGTATTTTATAGTCAATACGACTAGTGCTATTTTAACCAAAATATAATTTACAAGAATAAACTTTTTTACATTCAATGAATGCACACATAATTTAGCTTGAGCTATTATTGATTCAATAAGATTTGAGATTTGAAGTCGTATTAGAGCATATTTTGGATTGTGAAGTTTGGTGGCTTTGTTATCGGTCTATTTCCTCTGTCATGATACTTAAGAAGACTCAATTAAAATGATAAATGAAATAATGTAGAGATGAAAGTTTATAAAAGAGAAATTAGGAACTGTGGTGTTTTGCCCTAGTGAGGAGGCATAAGCCTCCACAAAGAAAAAAATCATAAAATTTAAAATATTTCATAAATATGATACAAAACATTAATATGTTGTTTTAGCTTATTTTCATAAATACAAATCATAAATTTTAATTTTAAATATTGATATAGAATATAAGTTTGAAATATGATTCAAGGCAAATATTCACATAATATTTAAATATTCCATGAAGCTCAAAATCCATAGTGGACTCATGCATACTTTCACTATCTTCAAAATAATTATTATATTTAATATCATTTGATTCTATCACTTGCAACTGTAAAATATTCTTCATTAAGTACATTTTTCTTTTTACTATCAATTAATTTGAAATCCAATATAATTTATAACAAAAGAATAAAATAATAACATAATCAAATAATCATAATTATATTATATTTTGACCTTTTTGATGCATTATATCAGGTATATTGAATATATTATATATTAGTAATTTAATATAATGTATTTTTTTGTATGCTTTGATCGAGGAACAAATTCAAACATCTCGAGGTGTACATCTCATATGAGAAAGGCGCAAACTTAACTTGTGACAAGAAGGCTTAACCTTGAGGTATTTTTATGTGCCTCAGTTCGAGGCGCAAGCCTCTAATACCTTTTTAAACAACGGTAGAGTTGCAGTAAGAGAAGATCATAAAGTACTTGTAGTTATTTCAAAACTAAAGTATGAACTTAGATATCAAATTCTTTTAAGGGGTAGTTATAAATCTGGTAAGTAATTTGAACTAGAAACTATAGGTTAAACTATATGCCTTCCGTTTTCATTTAGCAAAAACTCAAGCCTAGCTCCCCCGTAGCCTCAAATGCCTTTTTAAACAACGGTAGAGTTGTAGTAAGAGAAGATCATGAAGTACTTGTAGTTATTTCAAAATTAAAGTATGAACTTAGATATCAAATTCTCTTAAAGGGTAGTTATAATAACTTTGGTAAGTAATTTGAACTAGAAACTATAGGTTAAACTATATGCCTTCCGTTTTCATTTAGCAAAAACTCAAGCCTAGCTCCCCCGTAGCCTCAAATGCCTTTTTAAACAACGGTAGAGTTGTAGTAAGAGAAGATCATGAAGTACTTGTAGTTATTTCAAAATTAAAGTATGAACTTAGATATCAAATTCTCTTAAAGGGTAGTTATAATAACTTTGGTAAGTAATTTGAACTAGAAACTATAGGTTAAACTCTATGAATTCCGTATTAATTTTACGCAAAAAACTCAAGCCTAGCTCGCCCCTAGCCCCTTCACACAAATCATTTGAAGTTGCCTTAATGAACACAGAAACTGGAAACTGCATGCATCTGATTGTTAATGTTTACGATTTAAGGGAGACTTAAGTGTAAGATCATCAACATTTTCTCACTTGTGCTTTTCTCATCTGACACCCTTGTGATGATCCTTCTTCATTGTCTTCTTTTTCTGCTTTTTACTCGTTGCCTCCAACCCCCTTTTTTTTGATCAAAAGCGGGTGATTGAGAATCTTGTTCATCTTTTTTCTTCTTTCTTGGTTGAGGGTCTTGAATAACTAAGCATTTCTCCTTATCTTCCTTGTTGGCTAAGAGGTAACCATTAATTTTCCTTTTATTTTTTTGTCTTCTTCTTTATTTTTATGGCAAATCTACCGTCTTTTTCACGTAGACTGAATTGAGAAGATTTGATATTTTGTTTGTAGCAAATTAATTTTTGGTACTAGTTTTTGTTTAGGTTAAAGTAAGTTAAAGTAAATTAAATATTTGAACTTCAAGATTTGGGATGAGTAAACTTATTTTGACTTCTAAAAGACACAAATAAAATTATTTTTATGAATAAGCTATAAAATTTCAAAATTTGGGAAGTTCTTGAAGAAACAAATTCTATGTGAGATAAAATAACAAACACTATTAAACAAGTGACAAAAGATTTACTTGAAGAATCAAAAGGAAAAATTCCTATAGATAACATTAGTTGGTAATAATGTACAGTAAAAGATAAAATATAATAAGTTATGCTA